TGGCATCATGTCTCTCTCTCACCATCCACGTGTCTGGCATCATGTCTCTCTCTCACCATCCACATGTCTGGCATCATGTCTCTCTCTCACCATCCACATGTCTGGCATCATGTCTCTCTCTCACCATCCACATGTCTGGCATCATGTCTCTCTCTCACCATCCACATGTCTGGCATCATGTCTCTCCCTCACCATCCACATGTCTGGCATCATGTCTCTCTCTCACCATCCACGTGTCTGGCATCATGTCTCTCTCTCACCATCCACATGTCTGGCATCATGTCTCTCTCTCACCATCCACATGTCTGGCATTATGTCTCTCCCTCACCATCCACATGTCTGGCATCATGTCTCTCTCTCACCATCCACATGTCTGGCATCATGTCTCTCTCTCACCATCCACATGTCTGGCATCATGTCTCTCCCTCACCATCCACATGTCTGGCATCATGTCTCTCTCTCACCATCCACATGTCTGGCATCATGTCTCTCTCTCACCATCCACATGTCTGGCATCATGTCTCTCCCTCACCATCCACATGTCTGGCATCATGTCTCTCTCTCACCATCCACATGTCTGGCATCATGTCTCTCCCTCACCATCCACATGTCTGGCATCATGTCTCTCTCTCACCATCCACATGTCTGGCATCAAGTCTCTCTCTCACCATCCACATGTCTGGCATCATGTCTCTCTCACCATCCACATGTCTGGCATCATGTCTCTCTCACCATCCACATGTCTGGCATCATGTCTCTCCCTCACCATCCACATGTCTGGCATCATGTCTCTCCCTCACCATCCACATGTCTGGCATCATGTCTCTCTCTCACCATCCACATGTCTGGCATCATGTCTCTCTCTCACCATCCACGTGTCTGGCATCATGTCTCTCTCTCACCATCCACATGTCTGGCATCATGTCTCTCTCTCACCATCCACGTGTCTGGCATCATGTCTCTCTCTCACCATCCACATGTCTGACATCATGTCTCTCTCTCACCATCCACATGTCTGGCATCATGTCTCTCTCTCACCATCCACGTGTCTGGCATCATGTCTCTCTCTCACCATCCACGTGTCTGGCATCATGTCTCTCTCTCACCATCCACATGTCTGGCATCATGTCTCTCTCACCATCCACGTGTCTGGCATCATGTCTCTCTCTCACCATCCACATGTCTGGCATCATGTCTCTCACCATCCACGTGTCTGGCATCATGTCTCTCTCTCACCATCCACATGTCTGGCATCATGTCTCTCTCTCACCATCCACATGTCTGGCATCATGTCTCTCTCTCACCATCCACATGTCTGGCATCATGTCTCTCTCTCACCATCCACATGTCTGGCATCATGTCTCTCTCTCACCATCCACATGTCTGGCATCATGTCTCTCTCTCACCATCCACGTGTCTGGCATCATGTCTCTCTCTCACCATCCACATGTCTGGCATCATGTCTCTCTCTCACCATCCACATGTCTGGCATCATGTCTCTCTCTCACCATCCACATGTCTGGCATCATGTCTCTCTCTCACCATCCACATGTCTGGCATCATGTCTCTCCCTCACCATCCACATGTCTGGCATCATGTCTCTCTCTCACCATCCACGTGTCTGGCATCATGTCTCTCTCTCACCATCCACATGTCTGGCATCATGTCTCTCTCTCACCATCCACATGTCTGGCATTATGTCTCTCCCTCACCATCCACATGTCTGGCATCATGTCTCTCTCTCACCATCCACATGTCTGGCATCATGTCTCTCTCTCACCATCCACATGTCTGGCATCATGTCTCTCCCTCACCATCCACATGTCTGGCATCATGTCTCTCTCTCACCATCCACATGTCTGGCATCATGTCTCTCTCTCACCATCCACATGTCTGGCATCATGTCTCTCCCTCACCATCCACATGTCTGGCATCATGTCTCTCTCACCATCCACATGTCTGGCATCATGTCTCTCCCTCACCATCCACATGTCTGGCATCATGTCTCTCTCTCACCATCCACATGTCTGGCATCATGTCTCTCTCTCACCATCCACATGTCTGGCATCATGTCTCTCTCTCACCATCCACATGTCTGGCATCATGTCTCTCTCTCACCATCCACATGTCTGGCATCATGTCTCTCCCTCACCATCCACATGTCTGGCATCATGTCTCTCCCTCACCATCCACATGTCTGGCATCATGTCTCTCTCTCACCATCCACATGTCTGGCATCATGTCTCTCTCTCACCATCCACATGTTTGGCATCATGTCTCTCTCTCACCATCCACATGTCTGGCATCATGTCTCTCCCTCACCATCCACATGTCTGGCATCATGTCTCTCTCTCACCATCCACATGTCTGGCATCATGTCTCTCTCACCATCCACATGTCTGGCATCATGTCTCTCCCTCACCATCCACATGTCTGGCATCATGTCTCTCTCTCACCATCCACATGTCTGGCATCATGTCTCTCTCTCACCATCCACATGTCTGGCATCATGTCTCTCTCTCACCATCCACATGTCTGGCATCATGTCTCTCCCTCACCATCCACATGTCTGGCATCATGTCTCTCTCTCACCATCCACATGTCTGGCATCATGTCTCTCTCTCACCATCCACATGTCTGGCATCATGTCTCTCCCTCACCATCCACATGTCTGGCATCATGTCTCTCTCTCACCATCCACATGTCTGGCATCATGTCTCTCACCATCCACATGTCTGGCATCATGTCTCTCCCTCACCATCCACATGTCTGGCATCATGTCTCTCTCTCACCATCCACGTGTCTGGCATCATGTCTCTCTCTCACCATCCACATGTCTGGCATCATGTCTCTCTCTCACCATCCACATGTCTGGCATCATGTCTCTCCCTCACCATCCACATGTCTGGCATCATGTCTCTCTCTCACCATCCACGTGTCTGGCATCATGTCTCTCTCTCACCATCCACATGTCTGGCATCATGTCTCTCCCTCACCATCCACATGTTGACGGTCCCAACCCTTCCCCTGCATTGAGTATGGGAAATACTCAATGCAGAGAACACTGCATTGAGTATGTCATTGTGGCATCTCCAGCTTGCCAGTCATGGCGCCCGGACGGCGCACCGCCGTGAATGACCGTTCATCTGTTACTACTCACCCTTGACGCGGCGCTGGTGGCCTCACCTCCGTCCCGCTCTGCTATTGGTCGGCGATGCCGTAACTCGGCGACCTCGCGGAAGTAGTCACCGCGTCGCAGGGGTCGACTAGAGCATAATTTTCGTGACGTGGTGCTGCAGCCCGTCCTCCAAACAAAGGCCCAAAGTCCATGCACCCGCCAAACCCCCTGTTTATGAATGAAAAGCGGTTTACACACGACTCACAACTGCTGACGTTCGAACATATCCGGAACAAGTGCTTCACTGACGAATTTTGTTCGAATCACAACGCTATAAATGCTTCACCCACGTACTACAAATACAAATAATCGCAAACAGAACCTAAACACCTAACCTAACCTATCCTATGCCTATATGTACACAATATGCCAATATATTATAATATTAATTTATACGTGAGAAAATTCCCGTTTTGAATGAACAGCATGTTAAAATATATTAATGCGTCTGTGGGGTCGACCGCTGAATGTTATGGACTTGAGTCGAGGACGGGTTGGTTTATGAATGAAAAACGGTTTACACACGCCTCACAACTGACGACGTTCGAACACTTCCGGAACAAGTGCTTCACTAACGACTTTTGTTCGAACCATAACGCTGTAAATGCTTCACCCACTTACTACAAATACAAATAATCGCCAACAGAACCTAACTTAACCTAACCTAAATACCTAACCTAACCTATGCCTATATATGCACAATATGCTAATATCGTGTAATATTAATTTATATTTGAGAAAATTCTCGTTTTGAATGAACAGCATGGTAAAATTTATGAATGCGTCTGTGGGGTCGACCGCTGGATGGAATGGACTCGAGTCAAGGACGGGTTGGGTGCTGGGCGACTGGCGAGACCTGGGAATAACAACAGTTATGACTCCTGTTTGCAGGTTTACACCTATCTCTTCCCATAACTCTGGTTAAGATAAGGTAATTATCACAAGAAAACGCTAAGCCATTAAGACTATATAGCACTCGGAAGGGATGAGGGTAAGGATTTGGGATGGGACCGAGGGGGGGGGGTGGAAGGAATGGTGCTCAACCACTTGGACTGTCGGGGATTGAACGCTGAGCTGCAAGAAGAGAGACCGTCGCTCTACCGTCCAGTCCAAGTGATTGAGTAAAGCCTTACCCCTGCTAGGTTCCCCCTGGAACACGATACCTCAATCGGTTTACAACCAGGTCCCCAACAATTACTGCTGCGTGAACCGGGAGGAACACTTAAGGATTGGCTTAGAGTGAGGCATGGGGAAGGGGGAAGCTGTAAACCTGCTAACAGGAGTCAGAAATAGTCTACAGTATCTCATCAACAGGTAACTCGTTGGCTTACCTTACCTTCGAGTTACCTTGGAGTGTTTCTGGGGCTTAGCGTCCCCGCGGCCCGGTCGTCGACCAGGCCTCCTTGTTGCTGGACTGGTCAAACAGGCTGTTGGACGCGGCTGCTCGCAGCCTGACGTATGAATCACAGCTTGGTTGATGAGGTATCCTTTGGAGGTGTTTGTCAAGTTCTCTCTTGAACACTGTGAGGGGTCGGCCAGTTATGCTCCTTATCTGTAGCGGAAGCGTGTTGAACAGTCTCGGGCCTCTGATGTTGATAGTTCTCTCTCAGAGTTCCTGTTGCACCACTGCTTTTCAACGGGGGTATTCTGCACATCCTGCCATGCCTCCTGGTCTCATGTGGTGTTATTTCTGTGTACAGGTTTGGGACCAGCCCCTCTAATATTTTCCACGTGTAACTTATGAAGCTTCAGTGAAATCTAATCCTAACATAATCTTTCTCTACATTATTGTAAGCATTTTGTGCTCTTTGTAACTTTTTACCTGGACGTTGTTATGCTCAGCAATCGTCACCTGAAGATTTTTGAGAGGCAGATCTTCGAGTGCAGCGTAATCAAGAGAGCTGTTGTGGTTATACATATGCATGTAGGCTAAGAACACCAGCAACCTGGCTGACGCGTTAGGATCGAGAGCTGTAAAGGGCAATAAAGGCGCCCTGGCATCAAACTGACATTTAAGGGAGGTGACCTGGCCTTCACAACCTGAAGAAGGTGACCTTCTTCAGCTTCTCCACAACCTCAGACGGCAGAGGTTTATGTGGACAAAGGGATAATATGGTGACCTGTGTGGGAAGATCTGTGAGTGGTGTTTGGTCCCGGGTATTCCCTTCCACTCCCCACTTTTCCCCGAAGCCCACTGTCGCGCTCTTTGTATCTGTGTATCAAGATGCTGCTTACTTTGAAGCTCCTCCGCTTGGAGACACTCTTCACTTTCAGCAGCTCTCATCTTGAATTATGTCCTCTTGGCTTTGACAATCAAGGACGCTTCTCCTCCTCCTCCTCTTCTCCCTCCTTCCCCCTTCCCCTTCTCCCCCTCTCCTCCTCCCCCCTCCTCTCGTCTTTCCCCCTCCTCCTTCCCCTCTTCCCCGGCCGGCCTCCGGTGTAAGCTTCATTCAGATCTTTTGATAGCTCTTCTCTTTTTAGTTTTTAGTCCTTGTCAAGCGGAGGTGAACGAGCGTTTAACAAAGTCGGTAGGAGGATACACCTGGTGCTTCAGCTCTCGCTCAACTGGGGCTCTGGAGGCTGTTGAGTGACACGTGGGTTGTGAGCTGAGGTTAAGGGGAGCTGAGGTTATGTTCTCGATGCTCTTGAATGATTCATAGGTTGTATGTTTAGGTTAGGTTAGGTTAGGTTAGGTTAAAGTGAGTTAGAGTGTATGTTGGAGTTACGTTTGGTTGGTTAGGTTAGGATCTGAATGCTGTTGATTAACGTATAGTCTGTATGGTGAAGGATAGTGTGGGTTAAGAGGTAATTAATTTATTGTGCTCACCTTTGCTGGGCTTTGCCTAATATTTGTTTTGAAGTTTGAGGCTGAGTTTTAATTTTCCTTTGTGATTTTCATTGTCATCACCACTAGCAGCACCATTACTACCACTAGCAGCACCATTACTACCACTAGCAGCACCATTACTACCACTAGCAGCACCATTACTACCACTAGCAGCACCATTACTACCACTAGCAGCACCATCACTACCACTAGCAGCACCATTACTACCACTAGCAGCACCATTACTACCACTAGCAGCACCATTACTACCACTAGCAGCACCATTACTACCACTAGCAGCACCATTACTACCACTAGCAGCACCATTACTACCACTAGCAGCACCATTACTACCACTAGCAGCGCCATTACTACCACTAGCAGCACCATCACTACCACTAGCAGCACCATTACTACCACTAGCAGCACCATTACTACCACAACAACATCAAGCACAACCACGAAAAACGATCAAATATATATAAAACATTTGAGAGTAATCATGTCGGAAGACCTTATTGTTAAAGACCACAATAACTTTCCTTCAGCGGTCACCACAGTAAGAAAAATGACATGTTGGGTAACAAGAATCCTTCAAACAATAGATGCTATACCAATGATGATACTTTTTATGACGGATGTGTTCTCTACAGCAGAATAGTTGCACAATAACAGTTCAATTCAGAGCTGGAGAGTGTGCAAAGGCCTTTTAATGTCATAATTCACTCATTAACACATTATTGCAACCGCTGGAAATATTCTGATTTCTATTCCCCAAAGTGTAGGCGAGAGAGATATAATAATCTACTCTTGCAAATTATTAGAGGGACTGTTTCCACACTGTACACGGACATGACACCACATGAAACCAGAAGGCATGGCAGGAAGTGCAAAATAACCCCGTTGAAAAGTAGAGGGGCAATAGGTACGCTGAGAGAGAACTCTTACCAACATGAAGGGCACAAGAGTTTTCACCACTCGCTAGACATAAGGGGCATAACTGGCCGGCCTCTCACTGTGTTTAAAAGGAGAACTTCGTTAATACTAAAAGACATCTTGTAAACTGGTCTGTGATTCATACGTCAGGCTGTGAGCAGCTGCGTCCTGGTTGCCCACACCACCACCCAGAGGCCTGGTCAGAGACCGGGCCGCAGGGACATTGATTTCCGGAACCAGCACACGGTGACGGTAAGGTAGGTAAGGTAACTACCACCATCAACAAATCCACAAGGGCCGTAATGAGGATTCGAACCTACGTCCGAGAGGATCCCAGACGCGCCTTAATCCCCCTGTGCCACTCTATTCTGTGCCTCAAATCACATCACGCTATTGGGATTTCTGTGTGTAACTACCACCATCAACACCACGTCAAATGCAAGAACCGCCACTCCCACCCTATGAAGCACAATCACTACCACCCCCATCAAGTTCAACCACCCACTATCCCCCCCCCCCACCCTATCAAGCACAGCCAACTTCCCTCCTCCACACCATCACCACCACCATATCAGACATCACCAAATTCACTATTTTTTCCTTATTTTCCCTATTAACTGAGAATCTCTATTTCTGGCCGATGTTGAAACCTTAAAGTGGGGACCATAATTTACTTAACCCAGGCACTTTCAGGCGTTTTTTTTATCAATCAATCAATCAATCTTCACCTAGACTCCGTTATTTTATGCGCCACCATTTTTAATATTTTAAATTGTCGAGTTGGTGAGTTTTTCCTTTTTAATTTGTGTTGAGTTGTGGAAGCAGGTCTTCTGGCGCAGGCTTCTCTGTTGATTACCTTATTAGTGAGGAGGTATGTTGGTGCGGGTATGTTGCTGCGTCTATGTTGGAGCGGGTATGTTGGTACGTCTATGTTGGTGCGGGTATGTTGGTACCTTAATGCTGATGTAGTTAGACGTATCAAGAACTATGCTTGAATGGTTAGTTTGTAAGCTGCTTCCTGTGTGCTGAAGAGCAGAGAGAGGAAAGGAAGGATAATGAGCTAAAGGTTCATGTATGAACCTTTACCATTATGAACGCTCTCGTCTCACCAGTGTCCCTCGTCACCGTTGTCTTCACCTGGACAGTATTCACCGTTGTCTTCACCTGGACAGTATTCACCGTTGTCTTCACTCGGACAGTATTCACCGTTGTCTTCACCTGGACAGTATTCACCGTTGTCTTCACCTGGACAGTATTCACCGTTGTCTTCACTCGGACAGTATTCACCGTTGTCTTCACTCGCACAGTATTCACCGTTGTCTTCACTCGGACAGTATTCACCGTTGTCTTCACTCGGACACTATTCACCGTTGTCTTCACTCGGACAGTATTCACCGTTGTCTTCACCTGGACAGTATTCACCGTTGTCTTCACCTGGACAGTATTCACCGTTGTCTTCACTCGGACAGTATTCACCGTTGTCTTCACCTGGACAGTATTCACCGTTGTCTTCACCTGGACAGTATTCACCGTTGTCTTCACCTGGACAGTATTCACCGTTGTCTTCACTCGGACAGTATTCACCGTTGTCTTCACTCGCACAGTATTCACCGTTGTCTTCACTCGGACAGTATTCACCGTTGTCTTCACTCGGACAGTATTCACTACCACCATATATTTCCCTATTGATGTTTCTTAGCGTTTTGTTGCTCTATCTCCATCTTTCTCACCACACTTTCTTGTAATGGCTGCTTCATCACTTTAATATATACTCTGGGATCAAGAATGTTTTTTATACATTGTTTTATATAAATTATATATATACATTGAGAGAAATGAGTCTATACCCTCCGGGAGATCATTTACATATATCAGAAACAAGATAGGACCGAGTACAGAGCCCTGTGGGACTCCACTGGTGACTTCACGCCAATCGGAGGTCTCACCCCTCACTGTAACTCTCTTCTTCCTATTGCTTAGATACTCCCTTATCCACTGGAGCACCTTACCAGCTACACCTACCTGTTTCTCCAGCTTATGTACCAGCCTCTTATGCGGTACTGTGCCAAAGGCTTTCCGACAATCCAAGATGTGCGTGTGTGTACTCACCTATTTGTGCTTGCGGGGGTTCAGCTTTGGCTCTTTGGTCCCGCCTCTCAACTGTCAATCAACTGGTGTACAGATTCCTGAGCCTACTGGGCTCTATCATATCTACATTTAAAACTGTGTATGGAGTCAACCTCCACCACATCACTGCCTAATGCATTCCATCCGTTAACTACTCTGACACTAAAAAAGTTCCTTCTAACGTCTCTGTGGCTCATGTGAGTACTCAGTTTCCACCTGTGTCCCCTTGTTCGCGTCCCACCAGTGTTGAATAGTTTATCCTTGTTTACCCGGTCGATTCCTCTGAGGATTTTGTAGGTTGTGATCATGTCTCCCCTTACTCTTCTGTCTTCCAGTGACGTAAGGTGCATTTCCCGCAGCCTTTCCTCGTAACTCATGCCTCTTAGTTCTGGGACTAGTCTAGTGGCATACCTTTGGACTTTTTCCAGCTTCGTCTTGTGCTTGACAAGGTACGGGCTCCATACTGGGGCCGCATACTCCAGGATGTGTGTGTGTGTGTGTGTGTGTGTGTGTGTGTGTGTGTGTGTGTGTGTGTGTGTGTGTGTACTCACCTAGTTGTGCTTGCGGGGGTTGAGTTTTGGCTCTTTGGTCCCGCCTCTCAACTGCCAATCAACTGATGAACAGATTCCTGAGCTCTATCATATCTACATTTGATATGAGTTTGTATGTTGTGTGTGTGTGTGTGTGTGTGTGTGTGTGTGTGTGTGTGTGTGTGTGTGTGTGTGTGTGTGTGTGTGTGTGTGTGTGTGTGTGTGTGTGTGTGCGTGCTTGTGCCTTTGAAGGCAAGAGCTTTCAGTTAAATAGGGGAAAGTGAGCCGAGCAAAACCCCCCACCCGGGACCAGCTTCTGGAGCAGATCTCCCCACTCGATGAGTGGGGAGAGTGAGTGCACATCTCATCGACTTTATGAATTATGAAATTAAACCAAGGAGAAAGGATGAGGGGTGGGGGTGGGGTGGGGAAGGTTGGTGGTGGGGGTGGTGGGGAAGGTTGGTGGTGGGGTGGTGGGGAAGGTTGGTGGTGGGGGTGATGGGGAGTAATATAGACGAAGGGGGCAGAGGAGTGATGTGCAGGGGGAGGGGGATGGGGCATAGTGGAGAGGGGGGGAAAGGTAACTATCAGGAGAAAGCGGCAACCCATTACGCCTATATAGCACTTGGAAAGGATCAGGATACGGATTTGGGGGATAGGTCGGGTGGGGGGGGAGGGATGGTGGGCGAGTAGAATGGAAGGGGAAGGGTGGAGGGAGAGGGAAAGGAGAGGTGGGAAAGGGGAGAGGGAGGGAGAGACGCGAAAGTTCCCCTCCCACGCATTGTCGAGAAGCCGTAAATCATGTCAATATATGTATAAGACGATTACGGGAATGCTGTTGTCTTGTTCCTGTTCTTGCCGTTTCTGCTGTTGTCTTGTTCCTGTTCTTGCCGTTTCTGCTGTCATGTTCCTGTTCTTGCCGTTTCTGTTGTCATGTTCCTGTTCTTGCTGTTGCCATGTTCCTGTTCTTGCTGTTGCCATGTTCCTGTTCTTGCCGTTTCTGCTGTTGCCATGTTCCTGTTCTTGCCGTGGCCATGTTCCTGTTCTTGCCGTTTCTGCTGTTGCCATGTTTGTTATTGCCGTTTCTGCTGTTGTCATGTTTCTGTTCTTGCCGTTTCTGCTGTTGCCATGTTCCTGTTCTTGCCGTTTCTGCTGTTGCCATGTTCCTGTTCTTGCCGTTTCTGCTGTTGTCATGTTTCTGTTCTTGCCGTTTCTGCTGTTGCCATGTTCCTGTTCTTGCCGTTTCTGCTGTTGCCATGTTCCTGTTCTTGCCGTTTCTGTTGCCATGTTCCTGTTCTTGCTGTTGCCATGTTCCTGTTCTTGCCGTTTCTGCTGTTGCCATGTTCCTGTTCTTGCCGTGGCCATGTGCTGTACTCACCTAATTGTGCTTGCTGGGGGTGGGGGGTTGAGCTTTGGTCTTTGGTCCCGCCTCTCAATTGTAAGTCTACTGGTGTACAGGTTCCTCAGCTCCTGTTCTTTCTGTTGTTGCCATCTTGCTGCTGTTGCCACGTTTCTGCCGTTGCCATGTTGTTAAGCACACTTTGGATTGTATTAACATACGCGAAATCGAAATCAGTAACCAGAGAACGACAAGGAAATTGTCGAAACGCCAAATGATCAGTACGAGGCCGCGTTCCCTTTGTTGAAATTTGCTGTTAATGTAAAGCGACATGCATAACCATATCTTTATAAAGCATTTCACAGTTTCAATGAGAATTTCTAATTGTGGCTTTCTTGTTCTGTGTTTATCTCGGGAGAGCAAACAACCTGAGCTAACTCAATTTAAAGCCAACGTTGTGTGTGTGTGTGTGTGTGTGTGTGTGTGTGTGTGTGTGTGTGTGTGTGTGTGTGTGTGTGTGTGTGTGTGTGTGTGTGTGTGTGTGTGTGTGTGTGTGTGTGTGTGTGTGTGTGTGTGTGTGTGTGTGTGTGTGTGTGTATAATTCGTATGCTATGCAAGCCCTTCGGACCCAATTTAACCTCGAGTGGCCTACCCTGACGCTAATCCAAATTGTACCCAATTAACTTGGATTTCAGCATGCCGCAGTAATGTCCATATTGCCACGTGTTGTTTAGTGTGTTTAAACACTGTGATAAATGGGAGTGAACAGTGTGATAAGTGGTTGTGAACACTGATAAATGGTAGTGAACAGTGTGATAAGTGGTTGTGAACACTGATAAATGGTAGTGAACACTGATAAATGATAGTGAACACTGATAAATGGTAGTGAACACTGATAAATGGTTATGAACACTGATAAATGGTAGTGAACACTGATAAATGGTTGTGAACACTGATAAATGATAGTGAACACAGATAAATGGTAGTGAACACTGTCATAAATGGTAGTGAACACTGTCATAAATGGTTGTGAACACTGTTATAAATGGTTGTGAACACTGATAAATGGTTGTGAACACTGTGATAAATGGTTGTGAACACTGTCATAAAGGGTATTTGAACACTGTGAGTGTACAATACGCTTGCTGTAGCAATCAGTGTACACTACTCTGGCTGTAACAGTTTGTTCACTCACAGAGGGGGGGGATGTGTAAACACCCTCCCCCCCCCCCACTGACGATGACAAGACCATTCACGCAGTTTATGGATCAGAATCCTTCCAGGAGGCAAACACACCACTGCCTTGTAACCCGGCTCAAGAACCACCGTCCTGAACGTGTGCATTCGTCAAACACGACGTTCGTTTAACATTATTAAGACGTCAGTACGTCAAAGTAAGGTGGTAGTGAGATGTGTTGGGTGGTTGTGTGTGGGGGTTGAGAGGTCGTCCCGTGTTGGGTGATGGGGTGGGCGAGGTCGGGCACTACAACAGTGCCAATAAAGACCACAGAGTTAGTTATTGGTGGCCGACGACACTTGTCAATAGTTGCAACTTATGAGTCGTATGTTGCCTGTTATTGGTCTAGGGAAGCAGCCAAGTTTCTGCTCTCTGCACCCCACTTGGTGTGCTGCTGCTGCTGCTGATGCTGCTGATGCTGCTGATGCTGCTTGATGCTTCTTAATGCTGCTGCTGATGCTGCTGATGCTGCTGATGCTGCTGATGCTGCTGATGCTGCTGATGCTGCTGATGCTGCTTGATGCTTCTTAATGCTGCTGCTGATGCTGATGCTGCTGATGCTGCTGATGCTGCTGCTTGCTGTTGGCTTTGCTTCTACACCAAGAATGTATTTTTGTTGCCGTTTCATGATTTTTTTTTATATATTTTTTAACTGGAGTTTATGTATAAAATATCTTAAATATTGGAGTGTGAATCCCCGGTCCTCATTTACAGGTTGTGTCTCTGTTAGTGTTGACCGTCTTCTGACGCGGCCGTCTTGAAGGTTTATAGCTTGATCTTAGTGTTGTAAAGCCCGGAGTGTCGCATATCAGACCCAACACATCCGCCAGGAATTGTCGACCCTTCACACCTGACCTGGCCTGAGCTGACCTGAATCCCAGTCTAGCCTGGGATTAAGATCTTAATCACGACGCAGCTTGGCTTAATCTAACCTAACCTAACCCAGCCTAGCCTAAGCCTACCCAGCCTAGCCTAAGCTAACCCAGCGTAGCCTAACCTAACCCAGCCTAGCCTAAGCTAACCCAGCCTAGCCTAAGCTAACCCAGCCTAGCCTAAGCTAACTCAGCCTAGCCTAAGCTAACCCAGCCTAGCCTAAGCTAACCCAGCCTAGCCTAACCTAACCCAGCCTAGCCTAACCTAACCCAGCCTAGCCTAAGCTAACCTAGCCTAGCCTAGCCTAACCCAGCCTAGCCTGAATCAACCTAGCGTGTCATAACCTAAGCACCTCCCTCCCTTCCCTCCAGGCTAGTCCTGCACATTAACCTCGGGTGTGTAGCCACCCTGACATGTGTGTGGCGATGTAATACCTGTGTTAACACCTGTAACATGTAGCCTTCTGATGTTCACGTTTTCACTGTCGGGTGGTGGTGTGGGCAGTGCTGCGGCAGGACGAACAGCAGTGGGTTCCTTCCCCTTCCCTGGTGACATGCGGTCATGAGGTCCCACTGTTTTGTTAGTAATGTTTTCCCCTGCTGGTAAACACCTACACAAGTTGCTGCAAGAAGTGCCTGACCAGCCAGCCTGTAGTGGATATTGGCTTGCAGGCTGCGCCAAGCAACAGCATTTCAGATGAAGTTACCACGTCAGTCCTAGTCTCGGGGCGGACTAGGACTGACGTGATAACTAGGACCGACATGGCTGTTGCAAGTAGAACTCCAAGGAGAGTTCTACTTGTGAGGTATACTCCATGTATACTAGACAATGTAGTCATAACGCATCATGAGAAAATATGACTGGTAATTAGAGGGGAATGAACTCTCTGACCTGCTCAGGAAAACGCACTACCGGCTGAACCATGATGGGCTTTAGAAGTATCTCGACCAGCTCTGCTACCTGATGTTTTTCAAAGCTTCAGGTCCAGCAGAACTTGTTTTTCCTTCTTTAGTTTATTTTCTACCACAGATGTGTCCATACATTACATTAGTAACCAGCATATGTACATTTCTTCTGTCCTCCTTGGAGAGGGTTAGAGATCTGTTAGATATCATATACTGTAGTGAGTTATTGAGCACTCGACCACAGAAGGTGATTGAAGTCCTTTTTTACAATGCTAACTAACATACATATCATACATGCATTTACGTCTGTGCTACATAATCACTGTTCGATATATGTTCTCTGACATGTAATACAGTTGGTTATTGTGTGCTCAGTTACAAAATGTGATTAATGTCCGTTTATAAAAGTGAAATGCAATTATTACTAGCTTACACATACATATACATATACATATGTATATTTACTTCTCTCTTACTTGGGGGGGGGGTAAGATCGCTGTTATAGACACCAGTGTGTTACGAAGCAATCAAAGGTGATTAGGGTGCTTTTACAAGGTCATGTTATAATTACATTACAGACATTACATAACTGATGCATTATACAGTCAATCTTGGGTACCAGTCCAGTATATCATTGTGTTCCAATATTCATCAAATATTTACAGAGTTCAGCATACCTCAGCCCAGGAGGGCGAAAGTCAGTCAGTGTGGGAGATTGTATAGTATAGTGTTCAAGGGAGTGCATGCTTTCTTATTCATAAGTTGACACGTGGTGTTGTGGATACTTTCACTCCCACCCTGGTGCTCACTCCCACCCTGGTGCTCACTCCCACCCTGGCGCTCACTCCCACCCTGGTGCTCACTCCCACCCTGGTGCTCACTCCCACCCTGGTGCTCACTCCCACCCTGGCGCTCACTCCCACCCTGGTGCTCACTCCCACCCTGGTGCTCACTCCCACCCTGGTGCTCACTCCCACCCTGGCGCTCACTCCCACCCTGGTGCTCACTCCCACCCTGGTGCTCACTCCCACCCTGGCGCTCACTCCCACCCTGGTGCTCACTCCCACCCTGGTGCTCACTCCCACCCTGGTGCTCACTCCCACCCTGGTGCTCACTCCCACCCTGGTGCTCACTCCCACCCTGGCGCTCACTCCGCAACCTGCTCTCGCACAAGACAGCACATATGTGATTTATTGCTTATAGTCACTATTTCGCATATAAATAAGTATATATGTGACATATTCCAAGCCATATTTTTTCAAGGCACTAACTTTTTTCTCAGTTTTATTAAACATCAGCGATTTTATACAAAATTTGGCAATATCTTGAGTTACTTTACAATATATTTAAATACTTTAGTTTTGTTTTATTATTTTTATAAAACTGAAATATCAATATAGGTATAGGTTCAGTACTAATTGTAATATCTTAACATACTAAGAAGGTTAGGTTAGGTTGTGTTTTTCTATTCAGCTTTTCAAGGTAAACTCAAATATTCACAATAAATTAGTATGTCACATATGCACTTATTCATAAGCAAGATATTGACTATAAGCAAGTGCGTGAACGGGTTGCACTCCCACTCACTCAGGCATGCCAGGTGCCACTCATGTATGACAGATGCCACTCAGGTATACCAGATGCCACTCAGGTATACCAGATGCCACTCAGGTATGCCGGGTGCCACACAGGTGCCGAAGCGGGTGTGTAGCGTATCCCGCTTTCCCCATTATCCGAACCCGCTTAATCGAATCAGCCGCTTAGAGCGAAGGTCGCCGCCCCCCTGGTTGTGAGACGAGGGAGAGAGAGAGAGAGAGAGAGAGAGAGAGAGAGAGAGAGAGAGAGAGAGAGAGAGAGAGAGAGAGAGAGAGAGAGAGAGAGAGAGAGGGGGGGGAGGGAAAGAAAGGAAGAGGGAGAGAGAGAGAGAGAGAGAGAAAGAGAAAGAGAAGAAAGAGAAAGAGAGAGAGAGAGAGAGAGAGAGAGAGAGAGAGAGAGAGAGAGAGAGAGAGAGAGAGAGAGAGAGAGAGAGAGAGCGTCAGAAGGAAGGAACAAGGATTGGTAAAGAGAAAGGAATTCCAGGTGAAAGTCGAAATTAGAAAATTAAGACTAGACCCAAAGAGAGGGAAGGGAGGGGGGCCTGGTTGGGACATGGTGGGTGGGGTGTTTGGGGTAGCAGAGGGGGGGGGGAGTAGTGGGGGTGGAGCATGGGAGGGAAGTGGAGAAGTGTGAGGGGGTAGTGTAGGAGGGGCGTGGTAAGGAAATAGAGGGAGGGGGGTTGTGGTGAAGGGCGTGGCAAACAGGGTGGGTCTTGGAAGGGCGTGGCAAGGAAACTCGTGACAAGAAAAGAGATGAACCGAGTGTGGAGAAGGGGAAGGAGAGGGGAGGGGTGAGGGGGTGGGGGAGAGGGAAAGAGTGTGTGGAATATAACACTAAAGAGAAAAATAATAATTCTGGAATTAATGAGGCGAGCTTGGGAGAGAGAGAGAGACAGACAGATACAAGGAGACAGAAGGACAGACACAGAAGAGAGACAGGGAGGAGAGGAAGTGGAGGGATAAGAGAACAGGAGATATATAGCAAGATAATGAGAAAGAGGCAGGGAGAATATTATACACCTGTGTTCTGTCATGGCCGCCAGTGCCACCCCACACCTGCCTCCCCAGTGCCACCCCACACCTGCCTCCCCAGTGCCACCCCACACCTGCCTCCCCAGTGCCTCCCCACACCTGCCTCGCCACTGACACCCACTGGTAAACAATACCTGACGTTTGCATCAAGCAATATTATATCTCCGTCAAAAATACGATGGTTTAGCGTAACCAGAAACGTCAGAAGCTGGCCAAACCGCATAACTGCTGGACCCATATTCATGAGCCCCATTTCTCTTGTTGTTAGCTAAGGAAGAAAGGCCTGGAAGCCTGGAAGGAGGGGGAAGAAAGACCTGGAAGCCTGGAAGGAGGGGGAAGAAAGACCTGGAAGCCTGAAAGGAGAAGAAAGGCCTGGAAGCCTGGAAGTCTACAAGTCTACATTGATGGGATCGTTGGGGTGGAATCTGGTGACCCTTCTCCCTCTCCTCCCCATTCCCTTGGACCAGGATCGTAACGTGGAGGATGGTTCACTCTGATTGCCTTGGGAGTGGTGGGTAAGTCTGATAGGGAGGGTTGTTGTACCTTGATGTGTTCTGATTGTGTGGGGCGGGTCGGAGAGGGATGCCATTAGTAGCGTGGCACAGTGCCGGTGGCTGTCTGGGGCTGATTGGTGGCCTCCCCCCCCCACTCTCCACGTGATTAGCTTTACCTTAACCAACGTCTGTACTCACCTAGTTGTGCTTGCGGAGGTTGAGCTTCGGCTCTTTGGTCCCGCCTCTCAACTGTCAATCAACTGGTGTACAGGTTCCTGAGCCTACTGGGTTCTATCATATCTACATTTGAAATTGTGTATGGAGTCAGCCTCCACCACATCACTACCTAATGCATTCCATTTGTTAACTACTCTGACACTAAGAAAAGGTATTTCAAATATCTCTATGGCTCATCTGGGTACTCAGTTTCCACCTGTGTCCCCTTGTTGTCCCCCCCCCTACCCGTGTTAAATAAATTGCCTTTATCTACCCTGACAATTCCTCTGAGAATCTTGTATGTGGTAATCATGTCTGCCCTAACTGTTCTTTCTTCCAGCGACGTGACGTTTAGTTCCCGCAATTTCTGTGTGTGTGTACTCACCTAATTGAGCCTAATTGGGTGAGTACCCACACAGAAACTGCCGGAATTAAACCTTACGTCGCTGTGTGTAATTACCTAAGTGTAGTTACAGGATGAGAGCTACGCTCGTGGTGTCCCGTCTTCCCAACACTCTTTGTCATATAACGCTTTGAAACTACTGATGGTGTGCGTGTGTGTGCGTGCGTACTTGCGCGTGCGCATATCTACGTACCTCGGAATATATGTACGTATGTTCGAACATCTTCCCCCCCCCCCCCACGATCGTCTTCCCCACGATCGCCCCTTTCACTCCCCATAATGAAGGCAGCCCTTTACACACGCGTTTCTTCTAAGCTGATCGTGTATCCTCACCGCTCCTCAAAACATGTATCCGCCCCCCCCCCCAATGTATCCCTCGCCCCCTCCCCCCTCCTCAAAACATGTATCCGCCCCCATGTATCCCCCCCCTCCCCCCTCCTCAAAACATGTATCCGCCCCCATGTATCCCCCCCTCCCCCCTCCTCAAAACATGTATCCGCCCCCATGTATCCCCCCCCCCCTCCTCCAATCCGCCAGCACAAATCCACATCCTTGTCCCCTGAGCAGACGATATGGTGATGACGCCATTACGGAGAAGTGCCCCGGCTCTGCTCGTGACGACTGCGTGTGTGTGTATTGTCTGCTTGTCCTCCTCCTGTGTTGTCTGCTTGTCCTCCTCCTGTGTTGTCTGCTTGTCCTCCTCCTGTGTTGTCTGCTTGTCCTCCTCCTGTGTTGTCTGCTTGTCCTCCTCCTGTGTTGTCTGCTTGTCCTCCTCCTGTGTTGTCTGCTTGTCCTCCTCCTGTGTTGTCTGCTTGTCCTCCTGTGTTGTCTGCTTGTTCTCCTCCTCCTGTGTTGTCTGCTTGTCCTCCTGTGTTGTCTGCTTGTCCTCCTCCTGTGTTGTCTGCTTGTCCTCCTGTGTTGTCTGCTTGTCCTCCTCCTCCTGTGTTGTCTGCTTGTCCTCCTCCTGTGTTGTCTGCTTGTCCTCCTCCTGTGTTGTCTGCTTGTCCTCCTCCTGTGTTGTCTGCTTGTCCTCCTCCTGTGTTGTCTGCTTGTCCTGTGTTGTCTGCTTGTCCTCCTCCTGTGTTGTCTGCTTGTCCTCCTGTGTTGTCTGCTTGTCCTCCTCCTCCTGTGTTGTCTGCTTGTCCTCCTCCTGTGTTGTCTGCTTGTCCTCCTCCTGTGTTGTCTGCTTGTCCTCCTGTGTTGTCTGCTTGTCCTCCTCCTGTGTTGTCTGCTTGTCCTCCTGTGTTGTCTGCTTGTCCTCCTCCTGTGTTGTCTGCTTGTCCTCCTCCTGTGTTGTCTGCTTGTCCTCCTCCTGTGTTGTCTGCTTGTCCTACTCCAGTGTTGTCTGCTTGTCCTACTCCTGTGTTGTCTGCTTGTCCTTCTGTGTTGTCTGCTTGTCCTCCCATGTTGTCTGCTTGTCCTGTGTTGTCTGCTTGTCCTCCTCCTCCTGTGTTGTCTGCTTGTCCTCCTCCTGTGTTGCCTGCTTGTCCTCCCGTGTTGTCTGCTTGTCCTCCTGTGTTGTCTGCTTGTCCTCCTCCTGTGTTGTCTGCTTGTCCTCCCGTGTTGTCTGCTTGTCCTCCTGTGTTGTCTGCTTGTCCTCCTCCTGTGTTGTCTGCTTGTCCTCCTCCTGTGTTGTCTGCTTGTCCTCCTCCTGTGTTGTCTGCTTGTCCTACTCCTGTGTTGTCTGCTTGTCCTCCTCCTCCTGTGTTGCCTGCTTGTCCTCCCGTGTTGTCTGCTTGTCCTCCTGTGTTGTCTGCTTGTCCTCCTCCTGTGTTGTCTGCTTGTCCTCCCGTGTTGTCTGCTTGTCCTCCTGTGTTGTCTGCTTGTCCTCCTCCTGTGTTGTCTGCTTGTCCTCCTCCTGTGTTGTCTGCTTGTCCTCCTCCTGTGTTGTCTGCTTGTCCTACTCCAGTGTTGTCTGCTTGTCCTCCTCCTGTGTTGTCTGCTTGTCCTGTGTTGTCTGCTTGTCCTCCGTCTGTGTTGTCTGCTTGTGCTCCGTCTGTGTTGTCTGCTTGTCCTCCTCCTGTGTTGTCTGCTTGTTCTCCTGTGTTGTCTGCTTGTCCTCCTCCTGTGTTGTCTGCTTGTCCTCCTCCTGTGTTGTCTGCTTGTCCTCCTCCTGTGTTGTCTGCTTGTCCTCCTGTGTTGTCTGCTTGTCCTCCTGTGTTGTCTGCTTGTCCTCCGTCTGTGTTGTCTGCTTGTCCTCCTGTGTTGTCTGCTTGTCCTCCGTCTGTGTTGTCTGCTTGTCCTCCTGTGTTGTCTGCTTGTCCTCCTCCTGTGTTGTCTGCTTGTCCTCCTCCTGTGTTGTCTGCTTGTCCTACTCCAGTGTTGTCTGCTTGTCCTCCTCCTGTGTTGTCTGCTTGTCCTCCGTCTGTGTTGTCTGCTTGTGCTCCGTCTGTGTTGTCTGCTTGTCCTCCTCCTGTGTTGTCTGCTTGTTCTGTGTTGTCTGCTTGTCCTCCTCCCGTGTTGTCTGCTTGTCCTCTTGTGATGTCTGCTTGTCCTCCTGGGTTATCTGCTTGTCCTCCTCTTCCTCCTCGGTTAGACTTACTATAGTCGGGACATTTGGAGGTGGAGCAACGTTCAGGTGATAATGATGGTTGTGTTGTGACAACCATGGCGTCAGGAGGAGGAGGAGGAGGAGGGGGGGAGGAGGAGGGGAGGAGGAGGAGGAGGAGGAGGAGGAGGAGGAGGACATATGTGAGGCAAAGCGTCTGATAACTTCAATGAAAATTCTTTGAAGATAAAAAGTAACTGGGAGTAATTACCCGCGTGTTATTGTTGATGAAAATGGCGGCGTGTTGTATGTGGGTGACCCTCCAGCACCCTCCCTCCCTCACCACCACCACCATCCTCCAGCACCCTCCCTCCCTCACCACCACCACCATCCTCCAGCACCCTCCCTCCCTCACCACCACCACCATCCTCCAGCACCCAGCCTCCCTCACCACCACCACCATCCTCCAGCACCCAGCCTCCCTCACCACCACCACCATCCTCCAGCACCCTGCCTCCCTCACCACCACCACCATCCTCCAGCACCCTGCCTCCCTCACCACCACCACCATCCTCCAGCACCCAGCCTCCCTCACCACCACCACCATCCTCCAGCACCCAGCCTCCCTCACCACCACCACCATCCTCCAGCACCCAGCCTCCCTCACCACCACCACCATCCTCCAGCACCCAGCCTCCCTCACCACCACCACCATCCTCCAGCACCCAGCCTCCCTCACCACCACCACCATCCTCCAGCACCCAGCCTCCCTCACCACCACCACCATCCTCCAGCACCCAGCCTCCCTCACCACCACCACCATCCTCCAGCACCCAGCCTCCCTCACCACCACCACCATCCTCCGGCACCCAGCCTCCCTCACCACCACCACCATCCTCCAGCACCCTGCCTCCCTCACCACCACCACCATCCTCCAGCACCCAGCCTCCCTCACCACCACCACCATCCTCCAGCACCCTGCCTCCCTCACCACCACCACCATCCTCCAGCACCCTGCCTCCCTCACCACCACCACCATCCTCCAGCACCCTGCCTCCCTCACCACCACCACCATCCTCCAGCACCCAGCCTCCCTCACCACCACCACCATCCTCCAGCACCCAGCCTCCCTCACCACCACCACCATCCTCCAGCACCCAGCCTCCCTCACCACCACCACCATCCTCCAGCACCCTGCCTCCCTCACCACCACCACCATCCTCCAGCACCCAGCCTCCCTCACCACCACCACCATCCTCCAGCACCCAGCCTCCCTCACCACCACCACCATCCTCCAGCACCCTGCCTCCCTCCTCTCCCCCCACCACCATCCTCCAGCACCCTGCCTCCCTCCTCTCCCCCCACCACCATCCTCCAGCACCCAGCCTCGCTCCTCTCCCCACCACCATCCTCCAGCACCCTCCCTCCCTCCTCTCCCCCACCACCATCCTCCAGCACCCTGCCTCCCTCCTCTTCCCCCCACCACCATCCTGCAGCACCCTGCCTCCCTCCTCTCCCCCCACCACCATCCTCCAGCACCCTGCCTCCCTCCTCTCCCCCCACCACCATCCTCCAGCACCCTGCCTCCCTCCTCCAGCACCCTGCCTCCCTCCTCTCCCCCCACCACCATCCTCCAGCACCCTGCCTCCCTCCTCCCCCCCCCACCATCCTCCAGCACCCTGCCTCCCTCCTCTCTCTCCCCACCACCATCCTCCAGCACCCTGCCTCCCTCCTCCCCCCCCCACCATCCTCCAGCACCCTGCCTCCCTCCTCTCTCTCCCCACCACCATCCTCCAGCACCCTACCTCCCTCCTCTCTCTCCCCACCACCATCCTCCAGCACCCTGCCTCCCTCCTCTCTCTCCCCCACCACCATCCTCCAGCACCCTGCCTCCCTCCTCTCTCTCCCCACCACCATCCTCCAGCACCCAGCCTCCCTCCTCTCTCTCCCCACCACCATCCTCCAGCACCCTGCCTCCCTCCTCTCTCTCCCCACCACCATCCTCCAGCACCCTGCCTCCCTCCTCCCCCCCCCACCATCCTCCAGCACCCTGCCTCCCTCCTCTCTCTCCCCACCACCATCCTCCAGCACCCTGCCTCCCTCCTCTCTCTCCCCACCACCATCCTCCAGCTTTCTTACTACCACCACTCCAATTATCGTCTCAAGGAGCAGTTGCATGATAGGAAAAGGAAAGAAGGGCTAATTGTAGTAGATAGGAGACGGGGGCTGGAACGGGAGGCATGAAGGGACTGAAACGGGAGGCATGAAGGGACTGGAACGGGAGGCATGAAGGGACTGGAACGGGAGGCATGAAGGGACTGGAACGGGAGGCATGAAGGGACTGGAACGGGAGGCATGAAGGGCATAAGATTAGAGAGGAGGGGAAAAATGAGGATAAGTTTTGTGTGAAGTAGTGAAGAGGAGGGAGGAAGACAGGAAGGAAGGAAGGAAGGAAGGAAGGAAGGAAAGAAGGAAGGAAGGAGGGGGCTAATGGTATATAAGGTAGAAAAGAGTAGAAATTGAAATTTAGAGTAGAGGGAAGAGCGCGCAAAATATATTAGACTAACTTGAATCCTAATAAATCCTGTTGAAATCAGGTCCATGTCACAGGAGCAGTCTTCAGAGTGATTCTGACCCAGACTATGTGCTGAATCTGTTGATGTGGAATGCTCAAGCTGTTTATATTTATATAATTTCTGTATTATCTGAATTCCAGTTAATATTACTACTGTTGTCATTACTACTGTTGTCTGGTCCTGTAACCATTACTAGGTCTACTGCTGTTACTGCTACCCAAAGTTTTACCAATATTTATCGTCAATCAGATTGTAGGGTCGATGTTTTTCAATTCTTTTTCAGGTTTGTTTTACTCTGCTGTATGTCTCTGTTCAGCCCAGCTGGATGTCTGCTCAGCCCAGTTGAATGTCTGCTCAGCCCAGCTGTACACCGTTACAGTCCAGCCAGAACCGTAACGCTCTGTACAATATGCTGCAATTAACACTCTGAAGTAATCTGGAAAGTAATTACAAGTGTGATAATAGCACGAGACGAGAGACAAAACTGGACAACTAAACAATGAGACAACAATTGGGGGTAGAAATTGCCTAAGCTACTCTATCCCTCTGAGATGTATTTATTTCTTGTCTTAATAAACATACTTGAACTTGAACTTGAGACCAACACCCGGTTATTGCACCCATCTGCATTTGTTCTCAGTGGACTGCACTGAAAGAAGAAGTTTGGAAAGCCACCTCCATCCACAAATTAAAAGTCTATGTCTAATATAGACGTGTACTAGTCCAAGGCGGGGGCCGGGAGCTATAGTCACCAGTCCTCCATAGACACTGATAGGTAAGTACTTCTGTGGTTAAATAACCCCAAACTGTACGGAGAAAAACGTGAAGCCGTTCACAGTGGACCAGGAACTGTAGAAAGAAAAATACTCATGTATAAAAGATGAAGAAATATATATATATTGATTTGAACCGAAGATGCTTAAGGAAATTTAAGAGTGTTTCTGGGAAGTGAGGGAGGGGATGGAAGGGAAGTAGACTGAGGGAGGGAATGGAAGGGAAGTAGACTGAGGGAGAGGGAATGAAAGGGAAGTAGACTGAGGGAGGGGGAATGGAAGGGAAGTAGGCTGAGAGGGGAAGGCGGGAGGGGGTAAGGGACGTAGGCTGAGATAATTTATTCATTTCATTAATATTCAGAGGATAGAACGCATATTTCAGTGGAGTATTAATATCCTGTCAAAACCTTTCTGTGGCTGGAGATAAATGTGTGTAGCGATTGAGTAGGCACGAGCAGGTTACTTAGGTGGGTGTATGGGTGGTGAGGTGCGTGTATGGGTGGTGAGGTGGGTGTATGGGTGGTGAGGTGGGTGTATGGGTGGTGAGGTGGGTGTATGGGTGGTGAGGGGAGTGTATGGTTGGTGAGGTGGGTGTATGGGTGGTGAGGTGCGTGTATGGGTGGCGAGGTGGGTGTATGGGTGGTGACGTCGTCTCAGGCCGGGCTTGGGGAGTAGAAGAACTTCCAGAACCCCATCAAGGTACAATCTAGGTAGCCCCCCCCCCACTCCCTTCCCACACCACACCCCTCTTCTTCCCTTCCCACTCTGCACCCCCTCTTCCACCCCTCTATTAAAGATATATGAACACTTCCTTTAAAAGAAAACCTGTGACCCTTGACCCCGTCTGACCTTGCGTGAGAGGAGGTCTTCCTGGGGAGCAGAAGCTTCTTAATTCCTTAACTTTAACTCCGAGTGGAATCGAGAGTTTGGCTCGAGGCGAGAGCCGCAGATTTTTATCCACTCAAGTTAATGCCAATTATCTGTATAACTGGTTGTTAGTGGTTGTTTTAATGCCCCTTGTTTGGTGAACGGGGGTGGTTGCTTAGTGGTTGTCTTAATGCCCCTTGTTTGGTCCACGGGGCTGGTTGCTTAGTGGTTGTCTTAATGCCCCTTGTTTGGTCCACGGGGCTGGTTGCTTAGTGGTTGTCTTAATGCCCCTTGTTTGGTCCACGGGGCTGGTTGCTTAGTGGTTGTCTTAATGCCCCTTGTTTGGTCCACGGGGCTGGTTGCTTAGTGGTTGTCTTAATGCCCCTTGTTTGGTCCATGGGGCTGGTTGTTTAGTGGTTGTCTTAATGCCCCTTGTTTGGTCCACGGGGCTGGTTGCTTAGTGGTTGTCTTAATGCCCCTTGTTTGGTCCATGGGGCTGGTTGTTTAGTGGTTGTCTTAATGCCCCTTGTTTGGTCCACGGGGCTGGTTGCTTAGTGGTTGTCTTAATGCCCCTTGTTTGGTCCATGGGGCTGGTTGTTAGTGGTTGTTTTAATGCCCCTTGTTTGGTCCACGGGGCTGGTTGCTTAGTGGTTGTCTTAATGCCCCTTGTTTGGTCCATGGGGCTGGTTGTTTAGTGGTTGTCTTAATGCCCCTTGTTTGGTCCATGGGGCTGGTTGTTTAGTGGTTGTCTTAATGCCCCTTGTTTGGTCTACGGGGCTGGTTGCTTAGTGGTTGTCTTAATGCCCCTTGTTTGGTCCACGGGGCTGGTTGCTTAGTGGTTGTCTTAATGCCCCTTGTTTGGTCCATGGGGCTGGTTGTTTAGTGGTTGTCTTAATGCCCCTTGT